TTTTTTTTTTTTTTTCGGTACAGATATTTCGGTTCAGTATGCATAAGTAATGAACAAATACAGCATTGTTTTAACCACTGCATGAATGGAACTTCATTGGAAACTTCCAGTTTTATATACTGTTACTTTTGATAAAAAGCAAAGTCCCATCTTTCAAATTATTCAATATTTTTTCAGGAAATTCAATAAATGGGGTTTGGCGCTCTTTAATGTTAGTATGAAACAAGTCAATCAATCAATCAATCTGAACGCACCCCTACAGTACATCAATGCATTTTGGGTAATTTTCTGTCAGAACTGTCTGTCATTAAACTAGAAAAACTCATATGAAAACAAAATTACTGTTCAATCAATCCATTCCATTTCCTGTATGCTGTGTGCAATTTTTTGTATTATTTGCATTTATTAATAAATTTTTTTAAATAATGTCATTAAAATACCAAAATTAATACCACAGTTTACATTTCAGAATTCTCAATACCAATTTTAATACCACAGCAAATACTAATACTAGCCTACACTGTAAAAATCCATCGTACCTTTAACAGTAAAAGATTAAAAAGAAGTAAAATTGCTATGGTAAAAATCTGTTAAATGGTTAACAAGTCAAGTGCCCTTACGGTATACGGTGAAAACTGTAATAGATTATTATTATTATTATTATTGTCATTGTTGTTTTAACCATCATCAATACATATATTGCAGTGCATGTTGGAAACCGTAGTGCCAGCACATTACTCTGGACATAATTTTACTGCTTTGAATTTGTAATTATACAAGAAATTACTATAATATACACACAGATAAACATTATGATTTTACATGATCCTGTTCTCTGTAAAGTCATACTATATTGCTAATCATTTAAAGAAAGGAAGTAGTAAATCTACTACTGTTTTGTATGGTAACTCATAGCTGGTAATATGCTTTAAATTCACACAGAAACTGTTTACAGTGTATAGAAATGAGAGAGAGAGCGATATCATTCTATAAGAACAAACTCTGCCCTGTGATTGATGGACTGATGATATCAGTTGAAATATTATATAGAGTGAGTTTAAGGTACAGCTTTATCTTAAATTCTTAGAAAAGCGGTTTATCTTTGCAGTTTCTTAAAAGATCTACAATACAATTGCACTGTGTATCTTCAGGGTTGTAGTGCGACATGAACAACACTATACTAATACTGATAAGATTCACAAGAACAAAAAGCACAGTACCTACAGAAAGTACAGCTGTCTCTTCCTTTTCTTCTCCGGTTCTTCTTTTGTGTTCACTGGAAGGAGAGGAGAAAAGATCACATTAGCACAACACTAGCTCAGAGATGGCCATCTCCACCACACATTATCATCTCAGCCTCAGGGCAGAGCATAAAGTCTTGAGGGTGTCCAGCTATGGACCCAAAGGATGATGCCATCTGCTTTAAAGTGTATATAAAAACAGGAAATGACCAGGTTGCAAAGCAGGCCAAGGCACAACTATGAACCCAGAGATTTATCAAACTATACATGGGGAATTCAGGTAAACTGGGCTAGTTGCTGACTCTCAGGTCAATTGAAGTAAGTACATGAATATTAGCATTAGTATATAAGACGTTACCTAATCAGTGACAGTGATATAATTCTCAATAGAATTGAGGTTCACATATTTTACTCTGAATATTCAATTAAAGATGTTTTGAATAACAGCTTTAAAGTAGCCTGGAGGCAGAGCCGTACAGTGTGCCAGTGTGATGTTCATTAATTAGCACAGCTCTAAATAAAACAGACTGCTCATTGTAGAATTGACTTACAATGTCTGAATGTCCACATGAAGACCTGTGCTGAGGAAGTCACCTTAAATTAAATACGAAGGAGAAGTAGGTTTGAGCTCTGGAGAATTAATGGCAATTTAATATTCTGTTAATTATAAAGTGCACAGTCTTGTGTTCCAAAATTGAAATTATTCAAGGAAAAGTAAAAAGAAAAGCTTTGTTAAAACCAACCAACACAGGTCACATACACAGATATCATTTTTCATTTTTATAATATAATTTCTACAATCTGTTTGTATAAAATTATCCTTCTTGCTTGTACAAGAGCAAATATGCACAAAAATTATTGATATAAATGTGCAAAAATGGGACATTCACCACATAATATTTTAAAATAATTGCATAATTTACATGGCTGCAGTGCTTGCACTGTATTAAATAATTACCATACTCAATCTCTCTCTCACACACTCAACATTCATTTTCTCTATCTTTTCCCTTCTCCCTCTTTCTCTAATATGATTACATTTTATTTGCCCCCAGTTGCAACGGATGCCACTCTTCATTATTTAACTTCCAGAAAGCATTTTGAGACTCAAGTGATAAACACGCAGACACTAATTCTAGACAATTTACCCCTGTTTAGTATGATTTATTATACACCGCTGACCACCTACCGGAGTATTCAATTAATAAAGCCGAGCTGCACGCTTGCCAAGTCTATCAATGCCATCTCGAACAGACTAAACAGGTTAAACCAAAACAGTTACAAAAGTGTACAATTCAGTTGCCAGGAAATTAGAGAAAACACTTATAATTTTCCATTTACCTAATAAGATAAATGGACAATAACATAACAAAAACCAATTAAACCACTCTGAACACTATATAAGGAAGTTCAAGGCATTTTTTATGACCTGCATGTTGTAAGGCCTCAATATGTTGTTACATATAAAATAAAATAATTTTGTACGTCATGTATTTCAACTCAAAAAAATTATTTAAGACTATTTAATAGCTTTAAATCAATGTAATCCAGTAAAACTGGATGTCTCTAAAGTACAAATTAAATACATTACCAGAAGCTAATACTGAACTTAAGGTCTTTCATGAGAGAAAAAAAGGGCAATGGCTTTTCAGCAAAATATCTAAAACGTGTGACTCAGATGTGCAAGAATAATCACAGAACTGTTTCCTGCATTGTGCAACTGTGAAACAAATGAGTTTTAATGACACCTTCTTCTAACGTCTGCGGATATCGAGTTATTATTTGGGATTAAGATTCCTCCCGAAAGAAACAACCTCGTTGTGATGAAGTGTCTAGTTTGCTAGAGAGAATGGTGACAATACCACACTTTTTGTGTCAAGGACTTTCTGGGATCCATTCTTTCTTTGACATTTCGTATTCAGCACCCCTCGCTGATACACTGCATGATCCGCTCTCATGACTCAACATCAAATTTGCCTCACAAAGGCCAAAAGTCAATGCTTTTAAAGCTCACCCTGCATGCTGAAGGCAGCTACAGTAAGTAAAGGCTAATGACTTCACCATGCTATTTAGCATTACAGCCCCTGTTGGTTTTTCCCAAACCGTAGTGCATAAACTGAAGAATAAGAACACCAGGCCAAATTGAGGAGGCTCAGACTGGAGTCACATATTCCACTTATTGTTGGAGAGAAAGTTTCTAATTTATGGAGGATCAGTGCGCCAAGGTGACCTAGTGCACATTAGCGAGAGTGGTTAAAAGCACATTGGACAGATGGGAGGCCACCTGTTAAAAAGCAGTTTCAAATGACCACAGCTTTATTCTGCATTACTGTCAGCCCACCACATCATTTAATGATACAGCATGATACAAGATCACTCTCTAAAAGTTCAGGCTTTTCAAAATGGTCCTTCAGCATAAGAGGCCCACTTTTCAATCTAATGACCATTACAAAATGAAGCCTCTATCATCACAGCAGATATATGGCATAGTTTTGGATGCAACATGGTTTCATTTAGAGGCAGATGGCCTTCATATAAAGAAACACAATCGATAAAGATCATATAAATAAAAAAATCTAGTTTAAAACGTGTCAAATTCTTATGAAAGTACTTTTTGTATACATGGTTGTTTCACTCAATGGGGAGGAAAAAAAACTTTACATCATTTTAAAGAAAAGTTTAATTAGTTTGCAAATCTAAATAATTATTTAACAAAAGTTACCTAAAATAATTTTTAGGATTAAAAGTTTGTTTTCTGTTTGAAATAAGATTATTTTGCTTACCCCATTGGCAGATTACTTTGCTTGTTTCAAGCAAAAACTCGCTTAAATTGGACTTGTTTTTTTCTGAAAACAAGACAATAATTTTTACTTGTCTAGAAAATCCTTCTTGATTTAAGAATTTTTTGATATTTTGGCTGGAAACAAGACAAAAAAATCTAAACTAGAAAAGCATTTTTTTGCAATGTAACTGCCTCGTAGACAAGTCCAGATTAAAATAAATAAATAAATAAATAAAATAAAATTGATCAGACAAGAAAAAGAAGAAAAAAACATTGGTGCAATTAAAATGGTTTTATAAACTAATCAAAGCTCTGTGTGATTTTTGCTGCCGATTGCTTTCGCTTATACAGACTGTGCTCCATGCATAATCCATAAACACTTCTCATGTTTGCCTTAAAGCCACATAATAACCCAGCAGCCATGTCTGTTCATAGCTCTGCAGACAAGCTGGTTTGGAAATTTATGAGAGAATAATGATGCACATGAATAATTAGAAGGCTTGTGTATTTTAGATTTTTTCTTTCTATCGTCTTCAATGTCATTTTTTCAAAGATAAACTAGAAAAGCATTTTTTTGCAATGTAACTGCCTCGTAAAACAAGTCCAGATTAAAATAAATTAATAAATAAATAAAATAAAATTGATCAGACACGAAAAAGAAGAAAAAAACATTGGTGCAATTAAAATGGTTTTATAAACTAATCAAAGCTCTGTGTGATTTTTGCTGCCGATTGCTTTCGCTTATACAGACTGTGCTCCATGCATAATCCATAAACACTTCTCATGTTTGCCTTAAAGCCACATAATAACCCAGCAGCCATGTCTGTTCATAGCTCTGCAGACAAGCTGGTTTGGAAATTTATGAGAGAATAATGATGCACATGAATAATTAGAAGGCTTGTGTATTTTAGATTTTTTCTTTCTATCGTCTTCAATGTCATTTTTTCAAAGACTGGCAGAAAAAAACACTGCATTCCCTGAAAGCTCTCTGTGAAAGGGACACAGGGCGGCCCAATATATGTACAGGCCTAAATGTTTGAAAAACTAAAAAGTTACTAAAAGTTTTCTTTCACTGTCATAAAAAATACTAGAAACTTCAGGAAGGTTACATGATATAAAATGACATGAGTGAACTTATAAGGGCATCATTTTGACTGGTACAAAGGTTGAAGATGAAGGTTAATGCAGTTATTGGCTTTGGGATTTTTTTCCTATCATGTCTTTTCCTCCAATAAGAGTGGTCTTCAGTAAAAGGCCACAGAGCTAATTGCAGGTTTTGATAGGCCATATACCTCTGCTTCCTGCAGCACTGACAGCACAGGGCAGCTACTGAGGCTGTGTAATTGGCCCCTTTTAAAAAAGGAAGAAATACTCTAATGGGAACATGAAAGGCAGAACAGAAGATATCATAAGACAAAAATTTCCACATGCAGAAAACTTTACCAATTCCAAATGATTTTAATTGTGTCAGTTTGTAAAAGTTTACTTGAAAGAAGTGTGTGTAGAAGAAGTCTCTTAACAATAACCATAAATATACAGTAGCAATCATCAATTACGCAGTCAAGCAAAGAAGAGATATTACATACAATGCAAAACAGCGATGCTTTATGAGTTGCCACACACAAAGTTTGAACGTACAAGGACAAAAATGACAAATAATAAAATGCTTCTTTTGTCAAAACTACCATTCCAAAGTTTGCCTTCAGAAAGTTTTTTTTTTAATTAATACTAATTAATAAATTAATTTAATTAATAAGATTTTCAGCAAGGATGCATTAGATTGATAAATACTGACAGGAAAGTAACCTTTTTTTCTTTCTTTTTTTCTCTTTATTTACCCTTTTTTTCTCAAATACAAGCTTTTAAACTTCATACTCATCACACAGTCCTATAAAATGTATCACAGTTTCCACAAAAATATTAAGCAGCACCACTGTTGTCAACACTGAAAATAATAATAAATGTTTCCTCTTCAGGAACTCGAGCTGCGTCAGAAAACGCTACGGGAACACCTTCTGTGACCACGCTCTGAATCACATGTGAAATCGTGAAAGGCAAGAGCGGGCCGCATCTCAGGCTGTGTGTTCTTCCCTGCCCGCGTTACATTTCGGGTGGGGATACACACAGTTTGTGTGTTGTCTGCTTGGGAGCAAAACACACAGAGTCAGCTCTCGAGGGCTGACTGCCCGCATTGCGAGCGTTTGTCTGCGTATGCTTGCTCTCCGAGGGCTCTCTTTGAGGAGGGAGTCTTCA